AATAATCTTAGTTATAATTTTTACCGTCTTTTTTCACATTCATAGGTCAATTTAGCCTCCATTGAATTATTATTATATAAATAGAATAAGAGCAAAGGTGAATAAATAATATATAAATAGAATAAGAGCAAAGGTGAATAAATAACTACGGAAATAGGAATGTCGCATACTTATCGATCAAATTCAAATTGTGACTTTAGACACCATTTTTAATAATTAATTACCTCATGCAATAATTCTTTTATTGTATTAGCTGACTTTAATGCAACCTTTTTCTCATTCCAATCAGCTTTGTACACTTCACCAAATCCCCCCTCGGCAATTTTCTCAATATTAGTAAACTCTACAAAAGGTATTTTCTTAATTCCAGGTGTCGATCGAATAAACTCTTCGATTTCATTATTTGAATCTATGTCTGTATTAATGTCTGCCATATATTTATGTTCAAAGATTACGAATGATACTCTCTCTCTCTGTAAACGAAGAACAAATGATTGTGTAATTAAAATAGCGGGATTTTATTTATTCATTGGTTGACGAAAGAATTTAGCATCTGATTCCTTTTCAACTACATGGGCGCATTTTCGAGAAATCACATGATGTACATTAAGATATTATTTATCCATTAAAATTTATTTAGAAAATTGAAATACTTAATTTTTCGCATGCTTACTTATAATAAAAAAAAGAATCATTCAATGTCGCAAAGCACTCTTGCCAAATTCTTTTCTTTACATGCAAATAGAAAGCTTCAAATATACTTCTTTCGTTTTCCACTTGTCCACTATGATATCATCTTTGCAATTGAACCATTAACATTATTACCATTTCGTGCTTTCTGCTTGCTACAAGTGACACTGGAATTCGAATAATGGTTCGCTATCAGTTTCCATATCTATTTGCTGTTGTGATTGTTGTGCTGCTTTTGCTCTTTCTCGTTATTGCCTTTGCTGTTCGTGACTATGTATTAATAAGTGCATTCCCAGCAAATGAGTTTGTTGCCGTATTCCAAGCACCTCTGATTTCGTGCGTTCTAAATAGCATATCCAAAGAGACTGTTGATCTTTATAATCTATTGCGTAGTAAACTCTGTCATTGAAAATCCTACTTTACGAAGTCTTTTCGAAGAAGACTGAGATGTTCTGTGTAAATAGTTAACATAAAAAAGCTGAATGTCTTTCCCTCATCTATTGTTATTTCACTCATCGACTAGTTGATTTCTAAGAAAAGTTCTTACTGATGGAGGCCGATGAAATCCAAATGACCAACCAATTCGTCATCATCTTGTTTGTCCTTGACAAAATTCAGTTAAAACATAATTATCAATCTAGTAATGTTGGGGATGAGTCAGTGATGA